TTGAGTGAGCGATGCGTCCGCGTGGACAGCTGCTATACAATAATACATTTCCATTTACCTCCTTCTCTATATCCATACAAAATATCTATCAAACAAATAAAATTAAAATTTTGTTCCGAAAAATGAAACCATTCCATCAGTATTTTCTTATGACGTTGTCACTATCGTCAGTAAACCGACTTTACAGACAACCGATTTTTTTTCAAATATTGCGGATTATATAGGAAGTGTATCCTAACTTCGCTGTTTTAAACGATACCCCTTGTATGTTATTGTATTTTTGAATTCACCATAAAAAATCAGTGTCAGTCTACTATAATCTAGTCTAGATTGCAGCGTTTACATTTGTTAGAAAATTTGACACTAACTTGCAATGTTTTGTCCCACATTGAATATCTCCCAACCCATAGCACCTAGACAAATACGGTTTTTACGTTTCGTTTCTGAAAGAAAAATCATAAATATAACGAAAATTATTGTAAATCTGCATCTTGAATTTCAATGTAATGCTCATTTTGGAGATAGACGTAAAATGCAGCACAACTTTTATTTGAAACTTATTTTCTATTTTGAACTGTACCTATATTATAGACTAATAATTTAGCTTTAGTGAGTCACCCTGTGTATACCAAAAGCACAGTGAGGTAGTTCGAGGTAGTTACATGGTAAAAAAGAAAGAACCGATGATTTTTTAATGTTTGAAATTTGTGATTTTCAACAAGAAAAACTTGACCAAAACAGAACATTAGGTACACAATTTAGCATAAGATAAACAATAGGTCAAAACGTCTCATTAACTGACATTGAATCGGCGGAAAGGATAATCTAGGAACTAACATGGAACCACTTGCCTTTGTATTACTTATCTACAATTGCCAGCATTTCAAAGTAAGTTTTATTTTGTCGAATTGATTTACCTCTTCAAGTCGGTTTTCGATTTACTTTATACGTATGCTGTCCGAGCGTTTTATTCCGAACATATTTTACTCGTTGCCAGGAGGTTGTTGTACATCTCGGGAGGATGTAATGATAACTAACAGTTGAACGATTGCTACTCCTGAAGGAATTACTGTTGCAAGTTCCTTGGCACATCCAACTTGACGTAGAGAGAAGGTAAATTACACGCCGCTGTGTGTTATTTATGTGCAACGAACACAATAGGTATTGTGCACTTGTACATTTGCAATACAGTACAGTACAATGTAATCTATGCGTGTGTTTAAAATGATTGCGAATAGTAGTAAAGAAAGGGATGTTACGGCCCTTTTATTATGTTGAATGTTCTTAAGTTCATTTTTTGTAAAGTAATACGTTATACAATAAGTTACCTCAGATTAATGAGATTTTTTCCAGTATTAATGTGCATATATATATATGCATTGTTGGCGTTGTTGCCTGTCGTTGGTGCGTAAAGCTGGGGGTCGCGGGTTCGATTCCCGACGAGGACGTGACAGCAACGACAAAAAAATTCTCATTAATTTCAGGTAACTTATAGTGGAAAGACATTGAGAATGAATTTTCAGATTAATACTTAAGAATATCGAAACAGCATAAAGAAAGAAAAGAATCATAAAATAACTAACTCGTGCCTACTATAAAATTAATAAAGCTTTGGTTTACGTCATCAACATATATGAGTGAGTACCAATTGACCCAAAAAGTACTTATAACGTCATTTTGAACTCACTAAGGTGACATCATTTTAAGTGTAGTTATTAAGGAGTTGTCCATGACTGCAAGGGTACAGGTGGTCTGAACCACATGCGAGTTGGGGAGTTAATGTCTGAACCCCATGTTTTTTTTTTGCTTAATATAGCTCTGTAAGGGTGAGAGGTGGTCTGAACTATATGTGAATTAGGGAGTTGATGCCTAAACCTCGTGTTTTTTTTATTGCTTAATGTAACTCTGCAATGGTGAATGCTGGTCAGAACCATATGCGAGTTAGGGAGTTAATGCCTAAAAAAGAGGATGTAGAAATGGATCTTGTTTGTTACCTACATTCAATAGTCGGACTAAAGATGATCTATTTCCTGTATTTCATGAGTGACTAGCTCTGACATTTACTGTTTCATGTGGTGTTAAATAAAAAAATTGCTCTATGAAAATTTCATTTTAACAATGTAGAAAGATCACGTTGTTCTAGACGAGGGAGGGCAAAGTAAATGTTGGAGGAGGGCGTGGACAAAAAGTGACTAAAATAGAGCCACATCTCTTATGGACCAACGCTTTACATTACTTTAGTTCCAACTTTTTGTTTGTTGAAATAATATTAGAAATAAGGCTGCCAACATTATAATAAGTCAATGCGAGACAACAAGACTGAGAATTTTTTGGAATTGTTGGTTTTGTACTTAAATTAGATACAAACAACACTACTACTGAATTAACATTTATTTTTAAAGTCATATTTTTCGCATGAGTGGCATTTTTTACAAGGTCTGAGTTTTGGTTCAGAATGAGGGACATACGGGACGCCTTAGACGATTTGCGGGACTATTTTATTAAATATTGCAATGCGGGATTTCAACTGTCATTACGGGACGGTCCCGCAGAGTGCGGGACGGTTGGCCGCCTTAACCACGGCCCTTTAGCCCGAATCTTCATTCTATTATATGAGATTAATATTTACTTGTAAATTTACATTGTCATTTTTACTCTCGTGCTAGCGAAACGTTAGGAAGTAACTTCAACATACAACGGCGTTCTGAAATCCAAATCTGAACAGCATCAGTTTACCTACTGGCCATGAAAACCTTTATCAATTTGTCATGTTGGGTTATATGAAACTTAAAATATACAATAGCGAAAAAAATCCAATTACGTCCCTGTACACATGCTAGTAGTAATTGAAATACTGGGCATATTTGTAAAATTGATTAACACAACGAAATTTTTAGACTAATTTCAAGATTTCAAATTATAAACGGTCTAGTTGGAATAAGAAATCGAAAATACGTCAAAGAATTCAAAAGATTACTTCTAAAAATTTTCAAAAACTTGCCGATTGCTAATCATTTCAAACGTTTATCAATTAAGGATTATTTTATATTATATAGTAGAATTTAGAGTATGAAATATCTGCAGGATATTTACATGGTGAGGTGGCACTATTGATAATTATTAATATTTTTTTAAAATTAACTGTTAACTCAGCTATAAAATTGTATCATTCTCTTACTGTGTATGTATTTTCTTATTCTAACATGAGCAAAATTTTATTAATAATTTATGATTTCAAACTAAATGCCGTATTATAATAATCTAATGTAACTCGTACTTATCTCAATAAATGCCCAAATTGGGTCATTTGGACTATACAAAATTCATGCTGAGTAATTAATGGTAACAACATCATCCTAAAGTTAATATCACAGCGTGTACTTTAAATGTTTAATAAGACAACTCATTTAATAGCAATGTGACACTCACCTTCTTCTATTAGTTTCTGTACTATGTTCACCATATCTTTCGCTTCCCTTTTGTAGAACTCGTTCTCCGTTTCGGGTTTTAATTCTAATACTGTGACGTCATTAAGGAAATTTTTATCGTGCATTTTTAAAACAATAGCTAATGTTGAATAATTCGAGTACAATGAGTAGTTTCTATGCTAAACAACTACAATATTACGACAGAACGATAGGTAAATTTACAACGAAAAAAAATACCGCTTCAAGCGTTCAATTATCTTACACAACTTTATTATATCTATTTAAAAAAAGTTATGATGAGTTCTTTTAAAAATATTATTTTGCTTTGTTTTATTTTTAAAAAAGGCGAGGAATTTCTTAAACTTTTTACAATTTATTGCAAAATACGAAATGGAAAATTAAATATTAGAAATCGTAAATTTTCATCTTCACTACAATTTACATTTATGTACATATGCTTCAACTTCCTGTTGTCTGCAACTTTGCACATTACCTTTCATTTTAATTAATCGTAAGTTATAT